GCGGGGGAAGCATGGGCGGCTGCGAGGCGGCTCTGAGGAGGGAGCTTGAGGCCTCGACGGAGGGGAGGGGCCTCTGCTGGGTCTGGTGGATGCGCCTGCGGCCTCCACCAGACCCAGCAGAACGGTCCCGGGGGGCTGGCTCCGTGTCCTGTGTGCCCCTGCCCACTCCCACATGCTGCCGGCCTCCCGCAGTCCCTCGCCTCCCACCGGTGGCTTCTGAGATGGGCTGTGCTTGGGCCTTGGGTGGGTTTCCATCTGCCTTTGCTGGGATCTTTGGGCGCGTGGGGCAGAAAGCCCCGAAGAGTGTCTTCCAGAGTCACTCGTGTCAGGAGGCCTCACCCGCCCTGCCCTGCGTGGGGCCTGCCTTGTGCCGGGCCCCCCTGGGATCACAGGTTAGGGGTCCCTCGGCATCCCCACAGCCCAAGGCCGGGACCCCGCCTTGGTATGGGCGGGGCCTGCCGAGATGGCAGCCTCAGCCCCCCACACACACTTGGCCACCCTGCCTTCCTGGGCGCAGCGAAGTTTCCCTTAGGGCTTGGGGGCCAGCTTGGCACTCCTCGCAGAGGTCTCCAGGAACGGGAGAGCTCAGCGCCAGGTGGGGGACTTCGGCCTTGTGCCGGGTGTGGGCACCCTGGCCCCGCTGAGCGCCCCCAGCCCCGCCACTGCAGCCTCTCCTCTGGGCCCCGGGTCTGGGCCTTCCCTGGAGCCCCCCAGGCCTCTCCTGGGACACCAAGATTTCCCCCGTGATGTGAACTCAGCCCCTTCTAACCGGCGAGCCAGCACTGTGCTCTCCGAAGCAACAGAGCCCTGTCCTGGGGCCGACCCCTCTGAGGCAAGACCGCCTCCTGGGTTTGTTTTGCCGGACATTTCCCTGGCCGCTGCGCAGCCCAATCACACAGAGGCCTCTGGCAGACCCCGGAGCCAGCAGAGCGGCGGGCGCTGTTGTCAGCGGTGCCGGGGCCCTTAAGCCCGGGGGCTCTGTCTCAATACGGGCCACGGGCTCTAGCCCCAGGCCTCGCTGCTGCTTGCGGGGCCTCCAGCTGCCCACTGGCCTCCCCGCCCGCCCCTTAGAGCCCTGCTCTCTGCTGCCGTGTCGCGATCCATCTGCCACCCGTGCGGAGCTCCGTCCGGCTGAGGCTCTTGGGGAGCCAGTGCTGCTGGGGCCTCGGGCGGCGGCCGGCTCCCTGCCCTCTGGGGTTTCCTCTGGTGACTCCAGACGAGGCCGCGCTCACGCCACCCACTGCCCGCAGATCCCCAGCCTCAGCCACAGCGTCATCTCGCAGACGAGCTTCCGGGCCGAGCACAAGGCGACGGGGGGCCCGGCGGTGTTCCAGAAGCCGGTCAAGTTCCAGGTGGACATCACCTACACCGAGGGCGGGGCGGCGCAGAAGGAGAACGGCGTCTACTCCGTCACGTTCACGCTCCTGTCAGGTGAGCTGCTGGCAGAGGCCGAGGGCGGGGGCTCCCGGGGGCGGGGCTCCGGGCCAGCCCTGCCCCTGCCTCACCCACCCCCCCCACCTCCCCCAGGCCCGAGCCGCCGCTTCAAGAGGGTCGTGGAGACCATTCAGACCCAGCTGCTGAGCACACACGAGCAGCCTTCTGCCCAGCACTTGTCAGGTGAGGGAGGGGCTCAGCTCGGGCCGCCCTGAGGGCTGGCGATGGGGTGCGGCCCCTCCGCGTGCACCCCCGGGAGCAGGGCCCTCCCGGCACAGTGGCCGGCCGTCTCTGCGCACCAGGGGGGTAGGCCCAGCACGCCACACTGAAAGGCGCCTCTTGTCCACTGTAGACCCCCCCCCGCCAGCTCCGGGACTAAGCTGGGGTGCTGGGCTTAAGGGCCAGAAGGTGGCCACCAGCTACGAGAGTAGCCTCTGACGCTGGCAGGTAAGGTGTCCAGCCCCGCCGCTGGGGCAGGGAGGGGCTGCGGGCAGGTCCTCTGCGAGAGCCAGACTGGCCCCGAGGAGGCACCCTGTGCCCGGCCATGTGTCCAGCGGCCACCTCCCGGCCCTGGACAGGCCCCGCAGGCCCCAGGCCAGCGAGAGCAGAGGCTCCGGCAGAGCAGTGACCAAGGTGCTGCCGGGAGCCCTGTCACCCTCAAGGGTCCCCCAAGTAGCACTCTCCAGGGCTGTGGGCCTGGTGCCCACACTGGCTGGCACGTGAGGGGCTGTCCGCCACCCACCCTCCCCGTGGCGGGCAGGACACAGGGGCCCTGAGGTCCAGTCAAAGCAGGGGCTCCCCAGCTGGGCCTAGAGGGGGCCACCCAGGAATGGGGCTGCCCAGGCCTGCAGGCGCCAGGGGCCCGGGAGCCTGAGGGTCTGTGCCACTCGGCACCTGGCGGGGAGCGGCTGCAGCCCTGTGGGTGCGGGTGAGGCCCGGGGGCACGTGCATGAGCTGTTAGGGAGGGTGAGCGGCGCGCGTGCGCTCAGCGGGAGCTGGCAGCTCACCACGAGGCCTGTGTTGGGGTGTGGGGTCTGGGGAGCACAGGGTCCAGCCCAGCCCCACCTCTCAGAGCCCTCTGTGGCCAGCCGTCTGTGCTTCTGTGTAGGGTCCTAGAGGCCAGACCGGCTCCACCGTCCACCCGCCCCTGCCATCCTCATTCCATCGTCTGTGTTTCACCTGCCCCCCTTTTCTACCCCAGCGTGTGCCTCACTGCCCTATTGGTGGGTTGGGGCTGGAGGGGCCCCGACACCCTGGCCCTGGGAGCCAGGCTGGCCCGGGGGCCGGTGCCTTTAAGGCCTCCACCTCGGAGCAGGGCAGTGCTCAGAGGGAGAAACCGAGGCTGGGGAAGGACAGAGCTTGTCCAGGGAGGCAAGCAAGGGGCCTGGTGTGCCGCCCAGGGGACAGCCGTGCCTGCACCCACCCCGCCCAGAGCCACGGTCCCTCTTTGCTCCTGGCCAGGCAGAGTCCCACCCTAAGGGATACCATTCTGTCTGTTGGCGAACGTGCCTGCTCTAGGTCCCCCAGGCCCAGCAGCAGTAAGCAGGGTGGACACGGCCCTTCTGCAGGGCCCCATCCCCGTTTTAGCCCTGGGCCCAAACCCACGTCCCTGGAGACTGTTGGGTGCCTGCCCTGGGCCAAGCCCATCTCCCCTGCCTTCCTTCAGGGAGCCCTGGGCCTGGGGAGCCCACTCCGGGACCCCAGCCCACCCCTTGGCCCCGTCCCCAGGCCTCCCCGAGGGGTCAGCCTTTCCCAACACCCTCCCCCACCCCATACTGGACACTTTTGTCCAGCAAGCTCAGTCCTAGAGCCACTGGAGGAGGGGGCAGAAGCGGGGGCCCCTCAGGCGCCAGGCCAAGAGATCTGGTGGCCACTCCAATAGGGCCCCCACCCAGCCCAGGGAGGGGAGGCCCCAGTGAGGGCCGTGAGGCAGCCGCCCTCCACCCCAGGCTCTGCTGCCTTCCCTATACCCCCAGCCCTAACACTGCCAAGCCCAGCAGAGAGTGGGAGAGGGTGTGCCACGGTGAGTCGAGGGGCGAATGGGAGCCCTGCGGCCACGTGAGCCACAGAGCGGCAGGGTGAGGACACGGAGGTGGCAGCGTAGACCGCAGCCGGGGACCTGGCCCTCTCGGCTCCAAGGCGTGTGTCCTGGGCCCAGAGCGCAGAAGGGAGGGCGGGCCAGGCAGGACGCTCCACTGCCCAGGAGAGGGGCCCCACTCCAGGCTGCTGGCCCTCTGCTGAGCCCCTCCTCTCTGAGCCGCCCACTCCAGGCTCTACCCACCTGAGCCCCACCCCTTGGCCACAGCCCCTCAACCCCACTCCAGGCTCCGCCCCCTCCCCCAGGGCCTGGCCCGAGGCTGCAGGCAGCATCCAGCTTGAGGTCTGAGCTGGAAGCCTTTTTCACACGTCTCCCCCCTCCTCTCTCCGTTCTGTGCTCCAGACACCACTAACTGTATGGAAATGATGACGGGGAGGCTTTCCAAATGTGGTAAGAACCCCTCACGCTCACCTGGGCCCCCCCCCCC